ATAAGCATTCTAAAATAAGCGTTTTTAAATTAGAAAATTAGCAACAATAAAGCATTCTAAAATAAGCATCTTCAAATTAGATAATTCGCAATAATAAAGCATTTTAAAATGTGCATCTTCAAATTAGATAATTAGCAATAATAAAGCATTCTAAAATAACCAACTTCAAATTAGATAATTAGCAATAATAAAGCATTCTAAAATAAGCATTTTCAAATATAAGATAATTATCAATAATGAAGCATTCTAAAATAAGCATCTTCAAATTAGATAATTATTAATAATAAAGCATTCTAAAATAAGCATCTTCAAATAAAAAATTTGAAGTCATTAAGCCATATTGAATGAATTAAATACTGCATTGATGTTTAGAGATCAAAACCATTGAATTTTATTTTGAACCCATTAATGTGAATGGATTGCATACTTCATGTATAAACGTATGTTTGTTAATTATATCTCTCTAGAACCAATTAAAAATAATTCTATAATAAAAGATAATAATTTTATTCATTTACCATTTTTAATCATTACACACTCTTCAAATAACATTGTTAAGATACAGATTAACCAAATTTTCCATGTTTATATAATAAAAGTAAAACTCACGATAAAAATGTTTATAACCAGGCAGTGTGATTAAAAATGATCAAAGTGAAACAGTGTTAATCAACAATACTTGATCTAAAAATAAAGGCAGTATTCTAGCTTTAAGGTATACTTGTGCTTGACCTCTCAATTAAAGGTATCCCTGCATGGCAGGGTATCACCATAGTAAATCCAAGAGATTCCCGAGATTCATGAAAGAAAAGTTTTGACCAGAATTGTGGGGCGCTATCTATATATAAAAATTGTCTGTCTGTCTGTTTGTGTCCAATAAACGATTAGGCCCATGATTTTTTGCCTGGAAAAAATGTCAGCATTTCTTTTACTGGTTAAATCCACCAATTCAAAATGAAATATCCGCGAAAATTTTTGGTGACTTGATAAGCAACTAGCTGTTAAAAGCTATAATAGCTACTAGGAAAGAGGTGCAAAAAGCCCATTGTTAAAATAAACTATAAATTATATATACACATAATATATTTATACAGGGTGAGTAAAAAATTCTGAGAACCAAATTTTTAAAAAAATAAAAATTTGTTGACAAATTGCAGTAAATGTTATCAAATTATAACCCTGAAACACTATTATGACTTCAATAATGCAAATGATTAGCTTACATTTTTTGTTATATCTCATTCAATTTTTGATATTTTTTTTTAATTTTGGAAAAAATAGAAGAAACAATTATCCAATATTTTTTTTAAAAAATTCATTTTTTGAACAAAAAATGGATTACGCGGATTTTATTTTATGTTTCAAAATATTTGTTATTTTTTTCATATTTTATTTATTTTACGCCTAAAATCATAACAAAATAAAAATCCCTGTTTTGTACTCACCCTGTGTATATATATATATATACTGTACAATTCAAAAACACAAGGATATTTATATATTATTTAAAAATGATTAAATTTTCAGAAACCAGAATTCATATATTTTTAATACAAAATCTACGATACAAGTTTTGTAATGTTTTAAGTTCTGAGAAAAACATGTTTTTACGTCGTAGGTTGATGAATGAATTTAACATTGAAAATCTATATTTTTGCAATCATAAAATGAGGTTATGCGAGTATATTATTGATACTAAGTAAGACATAATATTCGAACCCTTTTTTTCTAACCAGTTGCAGGTTTGAACCGCAATTTATATTTTAATGCATAATTCCTTTAATTATTTGAAATTGAACCGTTATTTAGCGTTTTTTAAATTGCGTTAACTGCTACTTTTTGTATCAAATCCTGGCGTTTTTTGTCGCTATTCAGCTGCAATTTTTACCCCGTGAAAAAATAGCTACAATATATAATAAAAATAAAATCTATAAAAGTCATTAATTTTAAGTTTTTAGTCGCTAAAAAAGAGACTTTTATTCCGAAAAGAGATACAACCTTGATTGATATTTTTAGTGTATGGGAAATTTAAATCATTAAGAAATGTCACCTTTATAAAGATTAAGCAAAACAAAATACAAATTGTTAATTGAAGCTACCTATGCGATCTAATATTGAATTTTTATCTAGAAACTGGAAAAATGAAAATCACATGTTTAATGTGAAAGTTACAGCTTATTAAGCAGGGCTGGGTTTTATAGCTGAGATACATAGTATACTACGCTAGGGAATTTTCAGATAAAAATTGGATAATATAAAAAGTGGGAAATCATGCACAGCTAATAAAACAAACATGAAGGTTTCAAACTGAACCAAATAAACTTTGCAGGCCTACAGGGAGGGCAGTGAACAGTTTTTGTTGTAAATTTAATGTTTACAAATGAATTGGTGAAAGTACATATTTGTATATTATATGAAGAATTTATCAACAAATTATTAAGAATCTATTGTATCGTTTCATTTTATATTTTGACTAACATTACCGAATTATGATTCCCCCATCAGAGGGACGTCCCTTGGGACAATTAAGTAAAATAACCAACCGCTCTGCAAAGTTTTCGTGAATTGTGTACAACTACTTTTTCAGGAAATTAAAATTTGTATCTAACCACGGGTTCCTTCCAACAATTTTGTCTGCAAAACATCCCTCGCTTCGCTCTGGATGCATTGCAGGCAAAATTGGTCTTGGGATGGGGAACCCATGGAAAAGTAAAATTCCCTGTAAAGTAGTTGTAAATAATTAAAATAGATTAATAGATTTCAAAGATGCTTCATGATAGTATTTATATTGCAAAATATGCTAGGTATGTGCAACACTTATACTGTTAGACTTCTTAAAGGCCTGTGACGTTTTCGATTTTTTTAACGTCACTGAAGCCAAATATTTACTTAAATAATAGAATATTCTAACAAAAAGACTTAAAATATTACGTACTTTTTGTTGAGTATTCTTTAGTAATATTCTAATCCAAAAATGGTTAAAAACAACCTCCTTCAAAAAAAATGTCAACAAACATTATAGATTCATGGTTATTGGTTATTCAAATTGACTACCATAGCGGGATGTTATATTTATTATCTACCCCTAGTAACAACTTTATAAAATTGAATTCGTAATACAAAACTAGACATAAAGGAGTTAAAATTTATGCAACATTACTTCTAGATGTTTGTGACCTCGTAGCACCTCTAGTTTTGATTTTACGCAGTTTTTGACGTGGATAGCGAGGTTTTCGTAAAAACTTGGCGCATTTTCATTTTACTTAACCTCCAAGCTAGATTTTAAACCCTTGGTAGAGTGAAAACCTCATATCTTTCCTTTGCATTGTTACCTAAGGACCATACTCAAATATCTAAACAATCCTTTAAACCTTTAAAACCTCCGCCGCTTGTATTACACTATATTTGTTATTAAAGAATACTGTTAAAATAATTCATTTCGAACTCAATCATAAACTCGGGTTTAAAGTCCTTTGTGGTTCGTAAATCGTAGATTTTATCAACGATATATATTATACTAGGCCCGTAAACCTGCACCCACAATATACAAAGCATTTAATTTAAATTAAACTTAAACAATATTATTTCTGTTCATGTTTAAACTATTATTTTTTAAATTTAATCAGAAACAAATTCATTTTTATCTTTATTCCATTTCTTTCAAAAGCTTTGTTGTTAAAATCTATTTGGAAATTAATTTTGCAAAATTTATTCGATGCATTAATTGTCACAAATATTTTGTATATTTTAGTCAACCCAATTTTTAAAGATATCCATCGAAACAATACTTTTTGTCAATGTTTAAATATTAATTTAAAATTTAAAAATTCATACTGAACATAATTCGGTGCTGCATTTTTGCTAGATGTTTATTTTAGTTTCCAGTACATGAGTTTCTTTAATCATGTTTCTCGCAATAGTATAAGCAACACATATTTGTCATTTTACAAATAAAGTCTTCAATTTTTCTCAATAAATATAATAAAGCTCTTCGCTCATAAATTTATATATGTACATTTGTATATATGTTAGATATAACTGGCCAAACGGCTAAACCAAACTAGCTAAACATTTTTGAGGGAACCCATGGGTGCCATGGTGGGTGACATAGAGTTAAACAAAGAAATTGGCTCAAAAGTACTATCCTAATATCTTTGCAACCTTATGGTGTACATTTTTATATTTCCAACTTAGATTCTAAGGTCCACGACATTGTATTGTGTTGTGAAGATATAGGGATTAGGAAATCAGAGTTTGTGGCAAAGACTCAATTCCTTTGGATTTTATTTTTCAAAATTCGATTTTTTTAAATAAAACTTTTTTTTCAAATTCAAAATTTAATTTTCAAAGGCAAATTTATTTTTCAAATGCCAAATTTTTTTTCAAGTGTTTTTTAATGTTTGTTTTCTGAAACGTGGACAATATTGTTTTCTCTTGAGCCAGGGTTGTTTGAAGTTTTATATTAAACTTTACCTGGCTAAAGTTCAGCTGAGGGGAGCTAAGGGAGAGGAGCGGTTAGGAAACAAAATAGTTGCCGGGACACAGGATATAGGATTACGCAGTAAAACAGTGTTAGGAAACGAAATAGGAGCCGGGACACAGGATAAAGGATTAGGCAGTGTTACAGGATTAGGACACAAAATAGGAGCCGGGACACAGGGTAGAGGATTACGCAGTAAAACAGTGTTAGGAAACGAAATAGGAGCCGGGACACAGGATATAGGATTACGCAGTAAAACAGTGTTAGGACACAAAATAGGAGCCGGGACACAGGGTAGAGGATGAGACAGTGTAACAGGATTAGGACACAAAATAGGAGCCGGAACACAGTGTCGAGGATTAGACAGTATAACAGGATCAGGACACAAAATAGGAGCCGGAACACAGTTGTAGAGGATTAGACAGTATAACAGGATTAGGACACAAAATAGGAGCCGGGACACAGGGTATAGGATTAGGGAGTATAACAGGATTAGGACACAAAATAGGAGCCAGGACACAGGATAGTAGAGGATTAGACAGTATAACAGGATTAGGACACAAAATAGGAGCCGGGACACAGGGTATAGGATTAGGGAGTATAACAGGATTAGGACACAAAATAGGAGCCAGGACACAGGATATAGAATTAGGCAGTATAACAGGATTAGGAAACAAAATAGGAGCAGGAGCACAAGATATAGGATTAGGCAGTATAACAGGATTAGGAAAAAAATAGGAGCAGTGACACAGGATATAGAATTAGGCAGTATAACAGGATTAGGAAACAAAATAGGAGCCGGGACAACCGTATGCAGTCAAAACATAAACAAACAAAATGTGAACATATAGCAGACGAAACTCTTACAGGTTACAACTTTCTTAGTAGGTATCACTATACTAAATCAAAACCTTATTAAAAAAGACGATATCGAATTCGTCACTGAATTCCCATGTATATTGGGATACCCTGTAGAAATGCGGGAAACTGTTTGTTTAAATTGCTTGAAAATAAATCATCGATATTCTCTAATTTAACAGATAAAATGTGGAAACTTAGATCCTAGAAATAATTCAGAAGTTGATTTAGCTTCATAAGATAATTTTAGTTTTTAGTGATTTATTTTGTAAGTTATAAAAGTTAGTTTTGTTTTGAATTGTGGATTATACTCAAAAACAGGAAAGTGGGTTTTGTTTTAGGCAGTATAATAGGATTAGGAAACAAATGGGAGTTAGGACACACGGTATAGGATTAGGCAATAGAACAGGATTAGGAAACAGCATATTTCTATCTATCTATCTATCTATCTATCTATCTATCTATCTATCTATCTATCTATCTATCTATCTATCTATCTATCTATCTATCTATCTATCTATCTATGTATCTATCTATCTACCTATCCTTTTAACCTATATATGTAGCTATATTTAAATCTATCTATTAATATAAACAGCGAAGCACCAGGGGAAATACCAAAATGTTTTCAATCCAGAAAAATGAAAAATTTAATATTTAAAATTTAATCATTTGGATTCGGTTTTATTTTAAAAGAAATATGAGGCTAATTTTAACAACGTTAGTTAAAAGGAGTATTCATCAAAAATAAGTTAGGCCGGGTAAAGGTCATCATATATGGTTAATTTAAAGTCACGACACGCTTCTTTATTTTAGAGTATCAAACTCTGGTTTACAGCACTGAGTCTGCTAGCCAGGGTAGAGTTAGGGCTCGCAATTGCGCGCAAGTAAATCCACGCAAGTCTGCATAATTTCGCGCAAATTCATAAAAGTGAAAATTATTTCGAAACGGAATTTTAAATAATTTATAAAATTATTAAAAACATTTTGGGCCAAATAATTTATTTGATTTTATTGGTAGAAATTAATGATTGTTCAATATACTTTATTAATATTATATTTTTTAAACGTTAGATATGAATAGTATTGAAAATAACAAAAAAGTTCATGTTACAAATAATTATTTAATAATTATATTTATTATCAAGATAATATTATGGATAAGATTTACTTACAAGAAGGGTTAATTACAATGAATAAGACTCCAGAGACGACAATTCTGGTTTTATCTATCATTAATCATTTGGGTTCATTGAAATCTGTGATAAAGCGTTAAAAACTATTTTTGTCCCAACATGCATTTTACACAGTTGAAAGTCTTATCAAAGGATTGAGCTTTTGCCACAACCTTTGATTTTTTAATCCCAAAATCTTTGCAACCCAGTGTCCTAGACCTTGGATATTTCAAACTATGAATTCTGTTAGATGAAATAATTTAAGTTTAAAATATTAAAGGTCTATACCATCAGGTTGCAAAAATATAGGAATTAGAACATATGAGTTTGTTACAAAGACTTCATCTGTTCATTTAACCCAGTAATTTCATTGAAACTTTAGATCTAGAATTGAAATAATGTACTATTATAAAAATACCTTTAGTGATTGTGAAAAATCAAGAATTATAATAATCTAAGATGATTAGATCAAAAATTATAATAATCTACGATGAATAGATCAAGAATTATCATAATCTACGATGAACAGATCAAGAATTATCATAATATAGGATGAATAGATCAAGAATTATCATAATATAGGATGAATAGATCAAGAATTATCATAATCTACGACGAATAGATCAAGAATTATCATAATATAGGATGAATACATCAAGAATTATAATAAAAGGGTAAATAGATCAAGAATTATCATAATCTACGATGAATAGATCAAAAATTATCATAATCTACGATGAACAGATCAAGAATCATCATAATATAGGATGAATAGATCAAGAATTATCATAATCTAGGATGAATAGATCAAGAATTATCATAATATAGGATGAATAACAGACAAGTTGTGAGTGATGGATTATCCTTGAATGGAACAAGTCTTCACAAACTCAGATATGGAAAATCAATTCATAAAGTGAGTTCATATTTTACAATTTCCCTAAAAATCATTTTTTTCTCTGAATTTTTCCCTTTTGTTGTTCGTCCTAAAATTCATTAAAGTTTCAACTCTAGCCTTGTACCCATTTAAACTATTAGAAGAATGAAAAACATAGAGTTGGTTCTTTTTGTTGTAAAAACACAAGTTATTTGCCACCAGCTATGCAGAGTTGTGGACAAGTTCTGTAGGATTCATTTGAGACATATACAACAATTCCACGATGTATAATTACTAAGTCAACGTTCAAAATCATAAAAAGTTTTTTTTTAAATATCGAATAACGACGATGAAAAATATAGTAAAAATTTTATAGTAAACTAATTAGATGTTTAGGAACATATTTCTCAAAATAAATTTGTTAGTAAATGGAAGTAAGAATAAATTATTTCCTTTTTCATCATTATATTGAATTTCTTATTTTCTATGAATTTGTTCGCAGATTTCTTAAAATTCTTCAAATGTTGTCTTTTTAATAAAAATTCCAGAAAATCTTTGTGAATAAAGATTTATTATAGAAACTAATAATTGCACAAGATTACTTATTTTCGATGATAAAAGTTAATTTTTATTTTATAAGCCTGTTCCTAAACAGCTAATTAGTTTACTGTAGAATTTTGTTTACATTTTTTGTCGTCGTTTTTTAATAATAAAAAAAAACAATTATGAAAACGTATCCACCCAAAAGTACGATTTTGAACGTCGACTTTGCGCTCAAACTCAGGATTTACAGATCTTGAAAAAGTTTTATATGTGTCAAATAAATCTTAAAGAATTTGTTCACAACACTGCACACTCAATTTAACTATCTTACATAGCCGGTCTGTCCCTTTAAATGTTATTTTAAGCCAAAATTAAGAATGTTGAAAGTTTCAAGTTTTTATTGGTAAAAGTTATAACATGAACTAGACAAATAAAAAACCGGGAGATGAATATTTTTATTTTAATCTTGGAATCTTGGAAAATTACTTTTAAATTTATCATAGTTTTTATTTTCATAGAATTACTTACTTAATTACTTACTGACTCAGACCTCCGCTGTCGGAGTAAGAGGCCCCATAAGAATTATGTCAGGACAAAATGTAACGGTTCCGGAAACATTTTTAATTCTGAAGCTTCTAAAATATAGGATAAAAAGTGTTTTTGTTTGTTTTTCAAACTCAACATTTCAACTGTACCTTTTATACATTGTCCTAGACATATAGGATTTCAAAGCAAGAATGTCTCAAATTAACCTGTTTCTGTCGGAGATTAAAACCCCTACCGCCAACTTTGAAAGCAGTAACACAAAAAAAGGAGTTAAAGTTTTTTCTCAATCTTTTAGCATTTTATTGAATCTTTTGACATTTTTTAAAAATCTCTTGACATTTTCTTAAATCTTTTGACATTTTATAAAAATCTCTTGACATTTTCTTAAATCTCTTGACATTTTCTTAAATCTTTTGATATTTTATAAAAATCTCTTGACATTTTCTTAAATCTTTTGACATTTTATAAAAATCTCTTGACATTTTCTTAAATCTTTTGACATTTCTAAAATTCTTTTGACATTTTTTCAGGTCCGCACAATATTGAATGTTGAGAACTGGTCCAGATACCCTCTACTAGGTAAACAAGTTGAAAATGATCAAATTTAAAGGGAGTGTTCGCTAAAAATAAAATGGGGTATAGGTTGAATTATAATTTCATATTAAAACTTTACTCATTCGATTAGTATCGAAGAGATCCTTTAATTTTTGTAATAAAAAATTTCGAATTAAATTCGATATCGAATTCGATTTTGTTGTCAGTCACATTTTAATAAGATTATTATTTATTTTAGGTTTGCAGTGAAAATAGTGCAATCTTTTTTTTCTTTCTTTTCGTGTACTGTTTTATTGGACTTTAACATTACGTCTATTTACAGTTTGTCTATTTACAGTTCGTCTATTTGCAGTTCGTCTATTTACAGTTCGTCTTTTTAAAACTGATTAAATTACATTTTATTACCTTACATTTCGCCAACTAGTACAAAGCGTCAACTAATACATTTCATGATTTCATCCTACATTTGTTCAACTGTTTAAAATACTAATTGACATGGCCGGCTAACTTTAATTAACCTTTCCTTAATACGTTCAATTATTTATTATCAGAATCAGATGGTTTTGATATTTCAAAATTCTAATAAATATAAAAAAAATTAAATTTGAATCCAACCTGTAATTCTTTTTTTTTACATTTTATCTCTGTTTATCCCAGTTCATGTGAAGTAGATGAAAAATCTTAAATAAAAGTACAGAATATGAATGAATTATATTACAAAAGTTTAATATTATAATAAACGCATTTATTCATAATTTTAATATTTTATAATTATTTAAATTATAGATGCTCAGACTGATACCCATTGTGGAGAGATAACTCCAATATATCCAGCTCCTAATGTGTATCCAGGATACAGGTATACAGATCCTAATGTGTATCCAGGATACAGGTATCAAACTCCTAATATGTATCCAGGATACAGGTATCCAGATACTTATTTGTATTCAGGATACAGGTATCCAGATCCTTATGTGTATCTAGGATACATATATCCAGCCCAGCGCCTATAATGTGTACCCAAGGTATCCAAAATAGGGGGGGGGGGGCTTCGAGAGATAAGCTCCTAGGAGGAAAGGTGGTCCCAATCGGACTTGAGCCGCCTAACCCCTTCTTCTAGTTATACAAGGTTAAGCCCCCTCTTCGGGGAAGAATTCCTGTGTACGCCCCTGCACGAAGTCTTGCATGTTTTCAAGTTTTCAAATCCAGTTTTTTCTCTGAAGATCTGTTCAAATCCTGATTTAAAAAAAAACAAGTTTATCTTTTTACTCCTGTGTGTTCACTGAAAACTAAAGAAGGTTGGAAAGGTTCCACATAAAATAAACTTCTTCCTTATATGTTGACATTTAATTGTAGTCATATGTTCCAAACAAGTATCCAACCAGTATCCAACCAGTATCTAGCCGGTATCCAACCAGTATCCAACCAGTATCCAACCAGTATTCAACCAGTATCCAGCCGGTATCCAATCTGTATCCAGCCAGTATCCAACCAGTATCCAGTCCGTTTAAAAACAATGTTTCTTTACCCGTTGAATCTTGGAAGGTGTAAAAGCTGGATAAATGTGGATACGTTTAGTTAAAACTTGTTAAATCTTTTCAAATATATCTATAAATATATATATATAAAATATATAGTTTATAAATTTATATATATAATTGAAAAGTATAAAAGTTTGAGAAAAATTTTATATTTTCGCTCCCGCATATATTTCTTTTATCATTCTCTCTATCTTTTTGTCTGCATATATCTGTATATCTTCCAATCTGTCTATCTGTCTATCTGTCTATCTGTCTATCTGTCTATCTGTCTATCTGTCTACCTCTCTATCTATCTGTATATCTGTCTATCTGTCTACGTGTCTATCTGTCTATCTGTCTATCTGTCTATCTGTCTATCTGTCTCTATGTTTTTCTGTCTACCTGTCTATCTGTCTATCCATCTATCTGTCTATCTGTCTATTTGTCTATCTGTCTATTTGTCTATCTGTCTGTATGTCTATCTGTCTAACTGTCTATCTGTCTATTTGTCTATTTGTCCATATGTCTATCTGCTAGAGCTAAATTATTCTAGTTTGAATATATGAAATTAACTATTCAAATTATATACTCCACATTGTGCAGTGTGCAGTAATATGAAACAGGGCACATTATTCTTCTAATATTTGGATACAGGGAGACCCTGTAAAAATGAGACTTCAGAGACAAAGACTAATATTTTCTTTAAAAAATAAGAGAATCAATTTTTAAAATCAAGGGAATGTTTTTAAATATCAATAAATGGTAAATTATAAGAAATATATAATCCAGGAACAGCTATATCTTATGCGTCTAATCTGTGTACTGCAGTGGGAGGAGATCAAAACATAGAATTCAGGGACACTGCATCATTTGTGCAGGAGGAGGGGGTGGGGTGGGGTGGATAAGAATATATTGCTATTGTAGGTATGAACATCTAGATTTATGATTATGAAACGCACTCTGTTACTTAAAATCGTGTGAGTAAATGCTTTCAAGGCAGGAGTTGGAAACTATATTAACAAAGATTGTATTCAAAATGTAAGACAAAAAATGTTGAATATAAAACAAAGGAAAAATTACATATAAAACGAAAGGCGTTTTCTATATAGTAAAGTGACTAGTCTATTTACGGAGATTACATCGACAGCAAGGGATTCAAATTAAATTGGTTCATGAAATTCTATGCAAAAAAAACTTCCTCATTATTACATTCAATCGAGACTGTATGCTACCCCTTAAAAATATAGAGAAGTATGCCTGATTCCGAACAGTACTTTTTGGGGGAGCATACACTTTCATTCATGAAGTATATATACCGTTCAAAAGTAAATAAAACCTTGTAACATAAAATCTGAGAAAAAAGAAAAATCATTAACCTTTTATAATACATTTATTTTAGACGTTTTGTACATTTATTTTAGACGTTTTGTACATTTATTTTAGACGTCTTATACATTTATTTTAGACGTTTTGTACATTTATTTCCAAAGAAACATATTTACAATCTGTATGCATTAACATTTTTTTACATAGTTTAAAAACATGAACCGAAAGTTTAACCTCGGAAACAAGGAATAATGGGAATCTTCTTACCTTGCTTCTCTTCTGTAGAGGCACTATCTCATTTGACATAACTAAATTTTCCATATTGACCTGAAACCAAAAAGCATTTGTATCCACACTAGCTTGATATATTAACTAGTGTGTTTTTTGGACTGTAATATCACATGTTTATCAGAGCTTTAGTCCATTTCCGTCAACTAATGTGGGAGCACTGGGTTTGTTTACATTCCACCCACAGTGTACAGTACATAATATGCGTATATCTGAGTTTCTGTATATTATAGTTCCTTGGTTAATTAGGCTTCAGTGCAATTAAAGGTTTAGACTAATAAGTCTATTGGAGTTGCGACCCCTTCAGACGTTAGCTATTTTTTCTATACGCTTATAAGTACAGAGAGTTCGTATCAACTGATGTAAAGGAATTGAGTTTTTGCCACAAACTTTTATTTTCTAATCACTATATCTTTGAAACCCGATGCTGTAGACCTTTGATATTTCAAACTATGAATTATGTTAGATCAAATAATCATAGTTTGAAACATCAAAGGTTAACATCTTTAGATAGGAGAAATATAGGGATTAGACTTTTTAAGTTTGTGGCAAAAACTTAGTTCCTTTACATCAGTTGATACGTACTCTCTGTTTTTATAAGCGTAGGGAAAAAATAGTTAACGTCTGAAGGGGTTGCAACTCCAATAGACAGTTTAGTTTGGTGTGAAATTCTGAATTGATGCGCGCTGACTGATATTTTTTAATTTTTTGAGAAACATTTTGCCAATCTGAAATTATATTCGTTGTATGACAAAAAATTGTTCTACAAAATGACTGAAATATTACTAATTCCTGTTTTTATATTGTAGAGAGGTGATGGTGGCAGCATCTTCAAGAGTTTTCTCAGGTTCGATTCATCTACAGGGTGTCTCACGAAACATGACGGATGGTGAATGGTTCATAATAAAATATCAAACGGCAGTCATATTACAGTAAAATTGATTTCAAATTTAAATTATTTGAGAAAAAGATTTGTTTCAACGAAATATACGACAAAAAGTCTTTATTTAATATCTTGCGGTCATTCTTTTTCAAGTCAGCCTAAAATAATGAATTAAGGAAGTGAGGAAGTGACTCTCTCCGATTTTTGAATGAATTTGCAAAATAAAAAATTTCCGGAATCCGAAGGTTTCTGTTGTGACCTGTGTAAGTTGTGGGCCTCCAAAGTTTCAGCCTCCAGACTGACCTCGGAAACTTCAAAGCTGTATAACGTTTTTGCTTTTAAAGATAACGGCATGATTTTAACTGCAAACCTAAAAAAATAACTATATCTAAAAAAGTAAAAATAGTTGTTTTGCATCAATTTTTCTCTGTCAAAAATAAAACTAAAAATAAAACTTTGACCCCGGTTTAAAAGGAAGTACTTTGATTTTCGTAATTTTTTGTGTGAAGGTTCGTTGAATAATGACTAGTCAGTTATGATTATCAAAAGAGTTTACTTTATGTATTTTTATTGTTGCGAAGTAGCAAGTAAAAGAGCACCTCGTGTTGAAGTCAAATATGAACAAACCTGTGGAAACTATCAAGGTCTCCAGAAACAAAATGTTTTCTATGATAAATACTTGTCACATGTTTCATAAAACTGAGTTAGCTGAGCAGAAAACTGTTCATTCTAATCCGCAGGATATTAGTTTATTTCTTTAAACCAACCTAGAGAATGTCAGGTTTGGATATTCAACCCGACCCGAAGAATATCAGTTTTATTCAGTAAACCCAATCAGGAGAATATCAGGTTTTGTTATTCAAACCAAACCGAAGAATATCAGGTCTAAACAATCAATCCAGATCAGAGATTATCAGGTTCAACTATTAAACTCCACCCGGAGAATATTAGGTTCGGCTATTTAGCTCAACCCGGAGAATATCAGGTTCGGTTATTTAATTCAACCCGGAGAATATCATGTTTGGTTATTTAACTCAACCCAGAGAATATCAAGTTCGGTTATTTAACTCAACCCTGGGAATATCATGTTCGCCTATTTAACTCAACCAAGAGAATATCAGGTTCGGTTATTTAACTCAACCCAGAGAATATCAGGTTCGGTTATTTAACTCATCCCAGAGAATATCATGTTCGGTTATTTAACTCGACCCAGAGAATATCAGGATCGGTTATTTAACTCAACCTGCAGAATATCGGAGAATTGTTCTTACCGAGAATACATGCAACGCTTCATGGAGAATTCTTACTTCTTCGTCTCTGATGGAGACCTAGTGAGTTTATAAGATGAAATGACATTGGGGACTTAGGATTAGGATTTCCCATTTATAATATTTTTTTATTTTTAAATTTAAATTCTATTTTTCTTTACAATATTTGTGTGAACTTGAATTTAGTATCAAAGTTGGTTTATTTGGGTTTTGTATTTATTCTTTAACAGCTATTTTAAAAAATGAGAATCTTTAAAAAATGAGATTTTTTTCAGCAAAATCTATTTACTGAATCAAAAGCATGCTTTTTTTTTGCTGTGAAACAGATGTTTTCAGTGAAAACTATAATAAATTTCATAAATTTGTTAATTTTTTAGTCGAATACAAGGTGTTTTAATCTTGTTACTTTGCAAAAACAGAAAGTTCACTCTTTTGATAATTATAAATAACCACTAAATGAACATATATACAAAAAATTACGGAAATCGAAGTTCTACATTTTTTTAAACATCGAGGTCAACATTTTATTCTATAGTTTTAACAGAGAAATTGTTACAAAGTAACATTCATAAATCACAAACCAGAGGTCACAGAGAACTTTATTTTTTTTTTTATTTTCTTGTTCTTTTACAAAACTTGTTACATATGATGGTGACTTTAATGTGATGGCTGAGTTGAAAAAGAATGACCCATAGTTGTACAGTATATGGAAGAAGACATTAAAAACTTTTCACCAACTGTCATGTATCGCGGGAAAACCTGTAATCATAGACATCTATTTACATATTTGCCTCGTATGTTTGTATGTGATAAACGACTAAACAGCTAAACATGCGAATCAAAAATTGTTGAAAATCCCCTAATAAAAACAGACATTGCTGTTTCCTAATGTATAATACGGACATTATTTAAAAAGTGACAATGCATGAAAGCTAACGTAATAACAAGGAAAGAAGGGGCGCAAAACAGTATTTATTGTCAACTGGTTTTGCGTACCAATACTTTAGTCATAAATCTGCCTGGACATAATGCGTGGAAAAAATGAAATGAAATCTAATTTTCTTGTACGTTTTGATATCTCCTTATAAATATCTATCTATCTTTCTGCCAACTTAGATCCAATTAAGGTTGAAATACTTTCATCTTTTTATTTTTAAGTTGAAAGCCTGTGTTGACACCACGTCTTCTCAGCTCAATCTTAGTTTTATTAGAAAATTTGAGATTTTTTCCATAAAAATCATAAAGCCACTTACAAAGTTCTTTTTAAGTATTATATGTATCATGTTAGTAGGATTCCACTGTATTTTTTTCTCTAAAATATCCTTCCTTGACCTTTATTAAATTTTATCTGTCATGTAACTGTCAAAATTCCTTACACTCCAGTCTTGATAACCCCTTTCCATCCCGTTCCATTGTACGCTTCCTTCTACCCCTCTCCATCCCGTTCCCTTGTACTCTTCCTTCTACCCCTCTCCATCCCGTTCCATTGTACTCTTCATTCTCTACATCCCGTTCCATTGTTCTTTTCCTTCTACCCCTTTCCATTCCGTTCCATTGTACTTTTCCTTCTACCCCTTTCCATCCCGTTCCATTGTATTTTTCCTTCTACCCCGTTCCATACCGTTCCATTGTACTTTACCTTCTACCCCTTTCCATCCCGTTCCATTGTACTCTTCCTTCTACTCCTTTCCATCCCGTTCCATTGTACTTTTCCTTCTACCCCTTTCCATCAAGAGGTTTATGAATTTTGTGGTTAAATTTCTAAAAGAAACTAATGCATGAATGAAAACTAAGTTTTTTTAAAGAAAAAGAAGGAAATTGTTCATTGTTTTGTTCTTGTGTCTGCACTTTGATATGCTGCAACAAAGGACAAAGAAGTTAAAAGCTTTCTTTTCTTTTTTGTTTTTATGCTGAAAATTGTTTGGATTTAATAAATATTTAACTATTTATTTTCAACTTTTATCTTTTTAATCTAAACATTTCTTAAAATTTTTTCATTAATTAATTTCAATATTTAAATTCATACAAACATATATAAGATATTTATAAAAAAAAAATTATTTTTGTCTGAATTGAAATATTTTTCTTCGTCTTAAAATGCTTAATTTTTGTTTTTATATTTAGGAACTTGCGGTACAATCTCGTGGCAGGTCAGATTCTACCTTTTTAATTTTAATAAAATATTATTCCATTTGTTTCTCAGATATTATCATTCATTTTTTGTTTATATTTTACTGTGACGTATTAGGACAGCTTAGGAAAACTAGTTTTTAATTGTAAACAAATAACAGTTGTAAATATTTAATAATAAAACTAGTTCCTACGGAGTCATTTGTAAACAAATCTGACTAACCTCTTCTTAAAGGGACTATAGGCCTAATTTCAAGTGTAGAGCGGCATGTCCTATCTCCAACATTACCCTTTTAACCTTTGATTGATCAAGATTGTCGTATTTTATCCTCATTAATCTACAGAAACACTTTCAATTGTTAAATACTGTGTTTGCAAGCTGTTTTATATTAAACAAATGTTAATATTCACTTTCCTTTCTAGACGTGGAAGAAAATAAATATTTTCTTCCGAATTTTGACCACCAGGTTTTAGAGCAATTCAGGAGGGTATCAATAGATTTACACACAGAGATCTCTCTGTTCTCAATAGACAGTCAAAGGTTTAAAGGGTACCGTTGTTAATCGGAAATTACCCTCATGGAGGTTCCTTTGAAACTCCGTTTCCCGTCCCTTTTGTAAATCTCCTCTCATTGAATTCATTAATCCTAAAATAGTTAACATTCATTTATAAAAAGTTGAATTAGATTTTATTTTGAAGTACATAATTTTAGTTCCATATTTAAGGTTATTGGATTATCTGTCCGCCTAGTGGTAATGTGGAGTGTACCGTACAACCTCAACCTCCACGATACGTACATAGGGATAGCTATGGTGTACAACAGGGACGATCTCAATGTATTTTATCCAAATATTTAAGAATCGCATATCTTACAGAAAGTTTTGCCTGCGTAAATTAATGTGTAAATGTGTAGAGTTGAAATTCGCAATATGCGCAATAATAGCGCAAAAACTGTAGCTGGCATCATTGCACAAAAACTCATAGCATGTATAGCTATAAATGTGCATTTTCTCAATGGCTAAGCTAATTTTTTGATAATGAACATATAAACATATATCTTCATTATATTAGAAGCAAATTGTTACGCGAGCCATGCTGCGTGTATAAAGTCTGCTTGTCACCCCTGTGTATTTCTGAGTTCTCCCTGAAGGTCTGTACGGAATGTATTGTGAAAGAACTAGTTTTAGGAACTGTTTACAGACTGACTACGCAGGCGCAAGATTTCTCGCGGAGTAGTGAATAATTTATATCAGTATATGTTTATTCGTCTTGCAAGTTTTAACCGTGTCCAGAATTCTGGGATCACTGTGGTAACTATTTTTATATATACTTATGCTTATTGTTTTGATTATAGTATGATTTATATTTATATATGTGTTTGTTGGTTCCTAGCCACAGTTTTTTAATGCCTGAGTGAATTATTTGTTGTATTTGTATGATTTATCACTCAAAGCTTTTTCTGTGGGTTTATTAAACTTATTTAGATTGAAGACTCAGAGAAATAAACGTTCGGAACCTTATTATCATCCTTTTGTTATGAAGAGCGTTGAGAGAAGGGAGTCTTACGATCCGGTCCTGAGAAATACCACACGGTACATATATTAGGTCTTTAGGGAAATCGCTAAGTAGCGAAACACAAATATATGTAGTTTTTCATTTAAAAAGTTACATACCCGTCAGTATCAAAACCTTTCAGTCTTTATATGAGGAAGATATTGTCGTTTTTCTATCTAAGCACAGATAGATTCTGTAAATTTTCTTGTCAGAGTCTGCTGCATGAATTTTGCGAAGAACTCTTTCCGACATTTTTGCTCAGACAGCGTTTTAAAATGTACCTTTGGCAATCTACTTGAAACAACTTCTACAGTTCCTTTAACGAGTCCTCCAAACAATTTAACAACGTTAAAAATATCTATCATCGTTTGAAAATGGCGAAAACTTGAATCCCCTTCCCAAACTCAGATTTTGTTTTAAATTGTGCCCCTAGCTAAATCTCTCCATGTATCCTCTACCAAATCCACCCACCCCATCCCAATTTAGCCTCTCCATCTCCCCCCTCTTCCCCCATCTGAACTGATATCTCGACGAATGTTTAATAATGAAAATATTAGTGTTGAAAGATGAGTGCATGGTTGAATAGTTACAATTCAATCCATTTCAATCCATTCAAATATATTCCAAGAGTTTTATCTTATATGTGGAGAAGTTCTTAGAATTCATACTTTGCCCTTTCTTCTTCTTCAAATATTTAAGAACTTGTGCATTTACAAGTAGATCTACATAGAACAGTAAATATACTTTAGATATTTTGTACCTCTATAAAGGAATTGAGTCTCTTCCACAAACTCCAATTTTTAAACCTCTATATCATTTTAACCTAATAGCGTAATCCTTTGATATTTCAAACTTAGACTATTTGATCTAACAGAATGCACAGTTTGAAATATCTAAGGTCTAGGATATTTGGTTAAGGAGATATAGAAATTAGAAAATAAGATTTTGTTGCCAAGACTCATTTCTTTTAAATACTAGTTTGAGAACCCAGCATTACCCAGGGTACTCATAGTTACTCCCACCGTTTACCCGCACTTGGTCGTAAATTACGAATTTAGCTAGTTTTATAGACAGTAGATATACATTTCTACGGTGTCGGTAGATCTAAAGCTAATCTAGATACAAGATAGCTGTATTTACTGTATGAACTGTAGATCTACAGTATGGAATTGAATACGAAGAAATTATGAATATTTTAAAATGGCGTGTGGTAGTGCTAAGAATAATTTGAAATACTATATACCACGTCAGCAATATTAGATGAAGCTTTACCTTTAGAAATCATAAACAAGGACCATTTCTAGATTTCTACACTCCTTATATTTTATTCCTCCTGTTCTCTTATTATTCTATTCTTTCTCTTCTCCTTATATTTTATTCCTCCTGTTCTCTTATTATTCTATTCCTTCTCTTCTCCTTATATTTTATTCCTCCTGTTCTCTTATTATTCTATTCCTTCTCTTCTCTTATTATTCTATTCCTTCTCTTCTCCTTATATTTTATTCCTCCTGTTCTCTTATTATTCTATTCCTTCTCTTCTCCTTATATTTTATTCCTCCTGTTCTCTTTCTATCCTATTCCTCGTGTTATCCAATTATTTCATTCCTCCTGTTCTCCTTCTTCCAAATTCTTCTTGTTCTCCTTCTATCCATTCCTCCTATTCTCATTCTATCATTTTCCTCCTGTTCTCCTTCTATCCTATTTCTCCTGTTCTCCTTCTATCCTATTCCTCCTGTTCTCCTTCTATCCTATTCCTCCTGTTCTCCTTCTATCCTATTCCTCCTGTTCTTCTTCTATCCTATTCCTCCTGTTCTTCTTCTACCCTATTCCTCCTGTTCTTCTTCTATCCTATTCCTCCTGTTCTCCTACTATTATATTCCTCCAGTTTTCCTATTTACCTCCCTACGTCTATGAATGTTGGTTAATAAGTAATTACTTTACCTAAACTTCATTGAAGTATTTCTATCTAAAGTTTAACTAATACATTATTACAGAAACATGCCGTGGTATGGGAAGAAGAGATTATGAAAGATATGAGAAATTGCATACAAATGGGATGGGATGAAACGGAGGATAGAATATGATGGAGATAGGATGAGATAAAGGAGAGAAATGAATAGAAAATATACGAGATGGATCAAGAATCTAAGGCAAGGAAAGTCAATTGCGGTTGTGTATACTCTGTGTACATATTGAAACCAGTTCTCTAGGGCGGAATTTGTAAACAAGAATAGATGCACCAGTGTTCGTTTAGTATCCGAGGAGGTTAAAAGCATTAAATTTTGATAATTTTGATAATTCACATAATAATTTCCTATGACCAGAATATTTCATTGATTTTTTATGTGAATGATGGATCCCATGTCAGACTTCGACATCCGTCTTGTGTTTACATTAGCGCCCAGAGACAGTACAATGCAGTACTAAAGATGTGTACACTTCTGAAATGACTTTCCTTGCCTTACATCCTTGAGATGGATGAAAAAGTTGAATTTAATAGATCTTGAATAGTTAATAGATAAGAAATAAAGACTCTTTTATCTTATTTTTCATCTCATATCTATTCTATTCTACCCTCTCATATATCCCATCCCTTATCTATTTTTTTTGCTCTCATTCATCTCATCCCATATCCATTCGATCTTGTCTTTCATAACTTGTGTATTCTATTCTCTAATGTCTACTCAATTCGTTCATCCTTTCCCATATCTATACTTAATTCAATTCTCTTGTTTATCGATTTATTGTCTCTCGTCGTTCAATCCTATAAACATTCGCATTAATCTCTTTTGTATCCCTTTCCATATCTATGACTTAGTTACTGTAGATTAGGTTTAAGATTGCATAAAAGATAGGATTAAAATGAATGACTGGTTTTCTTCTTATATTGAAATTTGAAACTATGTTAATTTTTGATAATTCAACATTTAATTCTAAAATTTTATGCAAATGAAGTAAGATCTTGGTCCAGATTAAATATTTTAAAATAGATCTTGAGATATTTGTCGTCTAGTGGAGTCTTTAAAACATCGAAGTTTTGGTTCAATAAGATGTATTATTCAGATCAGGGCCCTCATTCTAGAGGGCTGGGAGGCAGGGTAAATATATTCATTCATTTATCTATTCATTCATCCTTTTATTTACTCATCCTTGCATTCAATTATTCAGTCATTCTAGAGGATTGGGAGCAGAAAAACTATATTCATTTATTTATTTATCCATCCTTTTATTCACTCATCGTTGCGTTCAATTCTTCAGTCATTCTAGAGGATTGGGAGCAGGAAAAATATATTCATTCATTTATTTCTTCATCCTTCCTTGCTGTAAATCCTTTATTCATTTTACATTCTTTCTTAAATTCATTCTCTCATTCATCCTTTCCCATTTTTTCATTTTATTAATTGTTTCATTTAATTATTCATACCAATCTTTAGTTCATTATTCATTTATTTCATTATTCATTCATTAGATCATTCATCCGTTTATTCATCCTTACATTAAGTTAGTTTTTAATTTTCTAAATACTACTCAAATTTTTTCGGATTTATCAAATTGTACAAAAAATCTGTACATTGTTAATTTTTACTTGACCAAATATTTGAGAACTAAATCTAATGTGTAAATCCAAGAAAAATAAATGCAAAAGCAAAAATTGGCTTAATTGGCTTAAAGTTATATAGCTTTATGCGTTATGCGCATAAAGCACATTTCAGCTTTAGTGCTAGCACTTTCAAAATGTAAATTATCTTGAAGTCATGAAAAAACAAGTTCACCATTTTAAACAGCATATATCTTTAAGGGTTTCTAAATAAGAAGTAAAGAAAAAAAATGATTTTTCCTATTTTTAGCCCAAAAAAGCCATAATTTTCACAATCATGGGATTATTTTGTAAAAATTAAGAGAAACCCAGTAAAACCATTTAATAAAAAAAATATCAAATCTGTTTATCATGATTGTAAGAAAATTCATTGATGTTTTAGAAAGCTCTAAATCTGACCATGGGAGAAACTGAAGTAATGTGCTTTTTTGCATAAATGATCAGATTTTTCGTACAATCCGAAAAACCTAATATTTGAGTAGTGGAAACGACACCGAAAAGTCAATTGATTTATATATATGTAATTATTCATATCTAATTATTAAAACACAGATTCATTTTTTTTCATTTTTATTGCTGTACAAATTGTTTCGTGTTTTAAGCACGAGAAGTTATATAAAAAATATTCATATTTAAATTTAATGGTTCATATTTTTTTTCATATTATAATATTTTCTGTTTTCACTTTCCTGGTTCTATTTGAATGTTTAGAGCCTTGTTAAATCTTTAAATCAGAAATTTTCAATTCAAAGGTTTATGTTGGAATTCTAAATATGTATATGCATTCAAAATAAATCCGTTATATCATATAAAGATGAATGCCCCCCTCCCCTCTCCTTTCCTTTCCTATGTATTTAATTAGGACTTAAGCTTTACTTTTCATCAAACTAATTATTTCAGGCTTCAGTGAAACTAGGCGAAAGGGGGGGGGGAAGCATTTTGCTTGTGCACATTTAAAAATAATTATCAGATGTGAAACCTATGTTTCATTACATGATGGAACAAATCTAAAACATGATTTTGAATCAAATATCACATTCAAAATTTCTGAGTGTCAATCTAAAAAACCTTTACTCTAGAAAAAGCTTAACTTCTTAACTTAACTTTTATTGGTGAAATAGACTCGAGCCACTCTGGGCCGTATAAAATTTGAATTCGAACAGGACCTCCCCAGTTTGTACCGGCCTGCCAGATAACGGCGTGTACCGACCCGATCCTATAGGTACAGTACTACGCCATAACCAGACTAACATACGACAGGGGAAAATTTTCTTGGTATAGTCCCGTCGGAGGGCTAACTATGACTCCCATGGCGCGTTCAGACTTTACAGTACCCGGCCTAATCCTAGGCCTATTTAACCGACCCCACTGGCTTAATCCACCGTGGAGCATTGGATCAAAAAAAACGATTATTATTATTATTTTTATTATTTTGAATAGTCCAATAAACATGAACCACAGCGACCCATTTCACGAAATAAGTTAATTCTAAAACTTCTCCTTTATAACAAAATCAAATATAAATAAGATTGCTTACATGTCGTCTTCATGTTGTTCCACAGTTTTACGGGCTTCACAATGCCAACAATTATCTTATTTTAATTTTATGTAATAATGTATGTAGTAGTCAAATAAGACTTAAACCTAGTCTAATAAAATAAAGAAAGTGACCAACATTTGGCAAGACTTTCATAACGAACTAACTACATAGCTTTAATTCAAAAGGGCTGTTGGCAACATTTCAAGTGCCCATCTATTATGAGATATTCTAGTTGTTCTACCTTAACATTTATCATTTTCTATTATGGTTTCTTCATAGAAGTGACTCGCGCATTTATGCTGCAGAGAAGGAAACCGTCAGAATGAAATTTAATAATAAGATGAGGGTTGAAAGTTTACAGTTTAAAACGTAAATTACGTGTACAGTCCCTTTCAGATAATTTTTTTACTAGCATTAGTAAACTGAAGCTTATCATGTTTATGTTTTGTAAAGAATTTGTGCATAAAGTTCTATAATCCTTTAAAGAATAAAATATTTTCAAAGAATTTAAAATGTATACGAGTTCAGAGTAAACACATTGATAAGAAAAAACTTCAAAAAGGAATAAAATTTCATTTTCAACAAGAAATTTTTAACATTTTCAATATTGCAATATTATAATTTTTTGATGTTTTCAATATTTCTACAGTTAAGAAAACATGCTTCGCAAAAAGGGTGGGTGGATTTTATCCTTTCTACTCTTATTAGGTCCATCATTAGATGTTTGATAACTTATTTTTTTATTGAAGGTTTTTAACTATTTAAAGGAAAAAGACAATGAAGTCAGTTGTAAGAGAAACTCCAAAAAAACGCGTTGAAATTTACTAAATCAGAAACGTTCTATCCTATTATTATCCCTTTGCGTTAACATTTTTCTGATTTTAGGTTTTGATGTACGAGAATTCACATCTCGTTATCTACGGATATATTGGTAAGTAATATAAATATTAAATTAGTCCCTGTATATTAATACAAATATTAATAAGAAATCAGTCCCTGTATATTAATATAAACATATAATGAGTCAAAATATATAAATAATGGGGGTTATCAATCTCTAATAATACAAATATTACTATAAAATCAGTCTAACTTTATAAATACTGGGGGGTTATTAGCCCATAATAATACAAATATTACTATAAAATCAGTCTAACTGTATAAATACTGGGGGGTTATCAGTCTATCATACTACAAATATTACTATAAAATCAGTCTAACTGTATATAAATACTGGGGGGTTATTAGTCTCTAATAATACAAATATTAGTATAAAATCAGTTTAACTGTATAAATACTGGGGGGTTATCAGTCTATAATAATACAAATATTACTATAAAATCAGTCTAACTTTATAAATACTGGGGGGTTATCAGTCTATAATAATACAAATATTAGTATAAAATCAGTCTAACTGTATAAATAATTAGGGTTATCAGTCTTTAATAATACAAATATTACAATAAAATCAGTCTAACTGTAAATACTGGGGGTTATCAGTCTATAATAATACAAATATTACAATAAAATCAGTCTAACTGTATAAATACTGGGAGGTTATCCGTCTATAATAATACAAATATTACAATAAAATCAGTCTGACTGTATAAATACTGGGGGTTATCAGTCTATAATAATACAAATATTACAATAAAATCAGTCTAACTGTATAAATACTGGGGGTTATCAGTCTATAATAATACAAATTTTACAATAGAAATAGTCATTTATTTATGATATTTCATTTTTCATACTGAGATTATTAATTTGGAAAACTTTGATGCTTTTGTATTTGAAATCTTTTAATTTGAAATTGATGAAAATCAACAATGGTATTGTTATTCCACAAATAAATGATTTTAAATCCTGTAAAATATATTTAATTATTAAAAATTAGTTAAATTAATCGAATCTAAATTTTATTCATTCATCTTATTTACTAATGATCAGCATTTCTTAAATTAAATGATTTTTTTAAAATATTCATTTATTTCAAAATAGCATGAAAAAACTATAAAAATTTGTTTAGCATATCAGTTCAAAACTATGTTGGAGTTACAAAACGAAGCAGTTTTAATAAGACAACTTTTGCGCATTTCTTCAGAATTAAATTTTTATAGAAACATCTTATCTTTCGCCGATCAACAAAATCTTTTCTTGGAAATGTTTGAAAAAAAACGTTTTTTTAGGCATTATTTGACATTTGACATTTTGGTTTTGAAGTGTCGCCTTATGTTTAATTTTGAATGAGTATACAGCAAAATCCTGACAAAATTTTGGTCAAAAATTTTAGTTTATACAATTAAACTTGGCCCTTGGGGGAGTAATATAAAGCCAAGTTCACTAAAACTACTATCAGGCACTAGTTTTAACTGTATATTTAGAAAATGCGAGTAATCCATGTATAAGCAAGATCAAATGGGACAAATGTAAATATGTGTATTTGAAACTATATTGGTTGCCAAAGAAATGCTATTTACATTTTATTGAATATTAATTAAAAAAGATTTATTTTGATAAAGAAAAAATATATACGAATGCCTAAATACAAAAATTCCCTCGTTACACGGCAATTTTTTAGCGAATTTTAAGCATAAAATATAAACATTTTTTCAATGAAAACAATATTTTCGATGTAACCACTTTTCTTTTTCCAACCAAGCAATCCATTAAATTCATCTGAAAAGTTTTAGGAAGAAACAAAAATTAAAATAAACAAAATCCGGATTTTGGTTTTGTAAACTTGATTTCTTTGCCTCATATAAATCAAACTCTTGCAATAGGAAGTTTACATCAATCAGTTTAAACCAAGAAAAAAGTCTGAAAGATGACAAACATGCTGAAACTTGGCAACCTCGATGCATGAAAGAATTCAAGAATTTGAAAACAAATATAAAATTTTTATCAAATTTGAAATTCATGGTTTCACAGATTTGTCAGAAAATTTATATGTATACACTATACAGTTTACTACAATGAGAACCAACAAACGGTCGAATAGGACATATGTAACATTGTAACAACATTTATGTGTATTTGATGTTGTTACAACACAAATATTACAAGTTACTTATTAAACCCCTTCTACAGTTGATTGGGTCTGTTTACATTGCACAATTGCTGTGTCTCATCATCTCATACTCATTGGGCTATTTATAGTCCTAACTTGAGCCTTAAAGTGGTCTTCCTATTCCAGAGTTTACTATTCTAAAGTTTACAGTCTAGATCGGAATAAACCAAATTTGGGGTTAACTAGAATCAAAAATTTTCTATTTATGATAATTTTAATTTAAATCTTCATGGTAAATGCAGAATTTTTTCCATTGCCTAAAATTTGTGTTATTATCATCCCAGTAATACATGATTTGATAAATTCTGAAAAATTTCTCACTATGTTCATTTTCTTTATACTTTATTGCGAAAAATGTCGAAAATAGGTTTCTTTCGAAATAAAAGGGTTTTAATTATTCTCTTATTTTACTGTAGCATGTGGGGCCAGGGGTGGCCGGGTGGGGATGTTTTATGTATATTATAAGTTATTGTTTTTATAGAAACTTTTTACCGTATCCTCCTTCTAATTCGTCGCATTGCGATGTCTAACGACGAGAATCTGCACAAAATAAATCATATGACAGACTTCTTTCAACGTTTCAGAAAGATACCAAATCTCATTTAATTTCCATTACATTTTTACCTGAAAATTAAGTGCCGAAGCAAATTCGTGCGAATGACGTCAGATTGTTCCCGAAAGAACTTTTAGCTAAAAAAAAAGAATATCATCGTCGTCCTTGATCAGAGGAGATTAAAACAGTACCTTTGTGCATCAGACACTCTACTAATGGAGAGTTACTTGAAACAACGATTACAGTCCCTTTAAACCCAGATAATCTGATTCTAAGAATATTCTAGAATCCTGGACCTATCATCCTCTCCTAAATATATCTGTAGTTCCTCAGCGGCATTCAAACCTGGCTCCCTCAGTTGTTAGTCGTCTTTATAGGTTAGTCGTCTGCATTGGTTTATTTTTGTATTTATATATATGTATCCATTTATTGGTTTATTTTTGTATTTGAAAAGTATTTTTTATTGATTTATTTTTGTATTTATATATATATTTTTATAGGTTTATTTTTGTATATACATTTGGTATTTCGTGCGCCGTTAAAATGCGCATTTCTGCGCAAAGATTAAAAGCAAATTTTCACAGAGCTTTAAAAAATTGGTCAAAAATTCTGCCGCAAACTAAAATTTTCTATTTCCTTGTCTTTGCAATCTTAGAAGATTTAAAACTTTGAACTCTGTTAGAGCAAATAATCTAGGGTGGAAATATAAAAAATGTACAATATCTTTAAACATTTTTACCATACAAACTTACCTTATTGGTCCAAAACTGTAAAATTAACCCACAAAAAAAAACAAATAAATTTTATGAATTTATTTTCATAAAATTGATTTATTCACTTCAGTAAATCCTTTTAATATCTTTTATTAGCAATAATAGTTAATTATATATTGCAAAAGATCAAATTAAATCCTACGGTCGTGTATTATTATCATTTAAATTGTTACTGTAATCATCATTAATAATAATGATACTATACAGGGAGGTTGCCGAGGGAAAGGCTGCAAGTGTTACTGCTGGAGCTGAAAAGGAAATCATTGTTTAAATTCAAAAATACATTTTTTTCAACAAAAAACGTGAGATTAAATATTTTTAATTTTTAAAAACTTTTTCAAGATTTTTCCATTCCCGATGTTATCGGTAGTTTATGTTATATATAAGAGAACCCTGCAGCCTGCATGCCTGAGTTAGGACGCTTCTTGGCGTTGTTTGTTTTATCAAAGAGAGATTAATTTTGTCAATTTTACCTCTGTCTCTGCTGCATAAATCCGTAAGTTACTTTTTTTGAAAACCTACATTAAAAACTATTGAGTTGTTCTTTGCTCTCAAACAGAGTACATGGGGCATGCAACTCTTTAACTTGATTATCACTTGAAATTCGTAAACGGTCCTTATACATTACGTTAGAACCCCCTTTAATTTATTTCCAATAAAAATTAGGTTTCTAGATTGAAAATACAAATTAATATCAATGATTTTAGGAGATGTCCGGTCCTGCCATTGTTTTCATATTAATTATTAATGTGTTATTAATAGCTGTTGTTCTGTGATATTGCAAGAGTTGTGATGATGTTATTTTGATACTTGCTAATCTTTAATAATTTAATAAATTCTATTGGAATATTCTTAAAATAGTTCTTTCGTTGATCCTCACATCAATTAATAATTGTCTTGAAAATCAATAATGTAGATTTTTACATTTAGTATCAAATATACTTTTTAGTTTGGGTTTAGTTTTGGGTTTGGGTTTTACATTTGAAATATTTAAGTTGGGCCATACATTTTAAATATTTAAGTTGGGCTATACATTTTAAATATTTAAGTTGGCCTATACATTTTAAATATTTAAGTTGGGCCATACATTTTAAATATTTAAGTTGGGCCATACATTTTAAATATTTAAGTTGGGCCATACATTTAAAATATTTAAGTTGGGCAATACATTTTAAATATTTAAGTTGGCCATACATTTTAAATATTTAAGTTGGGCCATACATTTTAAATAATTAAGTTGGGTCATACATTTGAAATATTTAAGTTGGGCCATACATTTGAAATATTTAAGTTGGGCCATACATTTTAAATATTTAAGTTGGGCCATACATTTGAAATATTTAAGTTGGGCTATACATTTTCAATATTTAGGTTGGGCCATACATTTGAAATATTTAAGTTGGCCATACATTTTAAATATTTAAGTTGGGCCATACACTTTAAATATTTAAGTTGGGCCATACATTTTAAATATTTAAGTTGGGCCATACATTTGAAATATTTAAGTTGGGCTATACATTTGAAATATTTAAGTTGGGCCATACATTTGAAATATTTAAGTTGGGCCATACATTTGAAATATTTAAGTTGGGCCATACATTTTCAATATTTAAGTTGGGCCATACATTTGAAATATTTAAGTTGGGCTATACATTTTAAATATTTAAGTTGGGCCATACATTTGAAATATTTAATTTGGGCTATACATTTAAATATTTAAGTTGGGCCATACATTTTAAATATTTAAGTTGGGCTATACATTTTCAATATTTAAGTAGGACCATACATTTGAAATATTTAAGTTGGGCTATACCTTTTAAATATTTAAGTTGGGCCATACATTTTAAATATTAAAGAACAACGACTTTTATTCCTTTTAAATGAATTTTAAATGACCATGTATTGAATATTTCAAGAAAGTAATCATAATACAAAAATATTTTTAATAATAATATAAACTAATTATGTCTTTTCTGATATTAAAATTATAAGAAAAAATAAGCACTAGAAAAAAGAGTATGATTAAATATCAGCTTTTAAAACACGATTTTAGTATTTTGACCCAGATCCTGATGAACTGTATTGAAAGACTATGTAGGATAGGACCCAGCTCCTGATGAACTGTATAGGAAGGATATGTAGGATAGGACCCAGCTCCTGATGAACTGTAAAGGAAGGATATGTAGGATAGGACCTGCAGCTCCTGATGAAGTGCATAAGAAGGATATGTAGGATAGGACCCAGCTGCTGATGAACTGTATAGGAAGGATATGTAGGATAGTATCTGAAGCTCATGATGACGTGCATAAGAAGGATATGTAGGATAGGACCCAGCTCCTGATGAACTGCATTGGAAGGATATGTAGGATAGGACCCAGCTCCTGATGAACTGTATAGGAAGGATATGTAGGATATGACCCAGCTCCTGATTAACTGTATAGGAAGGATATGTAGGAAGGATATGTAGGATAGGACCCAGCTCCTGATGAACTGTATAGGAAGGATATGTAGGATAGGACCTGCAGCTCCTGATGAAGTGCATAAGAAGGATATGAAGGATAGGACCCAGCTCCTGATGAACTGTATAGGAAGGATATGTAGGATAGGACCTGCAGCTCCTGATGAACTGTATAAGAAGGATATGTAGGATAGGACCTAGCTCCTGATGAACTGTATAAGAAGGATATGTAGGATAGGACCTGCAGCTCCTGATGAACTGTATAGGAAGGATATGTAGGATAGGACCCAGCTCCTGATGAACTGTATAGGAAGGATATGTAGGATAGGACCCAGCTCCTGATGAACTGTATAGGAAGGATATGTAGGATAGGACCTGCAGCTCCTGATGAACTGTATAAGAAGGATATGTAGGAAGGATATGTAGGATAGGACCCAGCTCCTGATGAACTGTATAAGAAGGATATGTAGGATAGGACCCAGCTCCTGATGAACTGTATAAGAAGGATATGTAGGATAGGACCCAGATACTGATGAACTGTATAGGAAGGATATGTAGGATAGGACCCAGCTCCTGATGAACTGCATAAGAAGGATTTGTAGGATATGAATGTTTATATATTTAATGCAGGGAAAAGGTTGCGGGTTTCAGGGAAAACGTAAAAACCAACTCAATTAAGGAGAGACAGATAGACTAGTTAGACAGGTAAACAGATGGACAGATAGACAGATAGACAAATAGAAAGATAGACAGATAGGCAGATAGACAGATAGACAGATAGATAGAAAGATAAACAGATATATAGATAGACAAATGGACAGATAGACAGATGGACAGATAGACAGATTGACAGATTGACAGGTTTACAGAGAGACAGACAGAAGGATAGACAAAAATATGGAGTAGTCAGGCGGATGGAATAGTTAGACAGATAGACTTGGTAGACAGATAGACTAGCTAGACAGATGGAGTAGTTAGTCAGATAGACTAGTTAGACAGATAGACTAGTTAGACAGACAAGTTAGCTAAACAGATTATTTAGACAGATAGACTAGGTAGACAGATAAGTTAGCTAAGCAGATTATTTAGACAGATAAACAAGTAAGACTAGTTGGACAGATTGACTAGTTGGTCAGATAGACTAATTAGACAGATATACCATTGTTAGCAAAGTAGACCATTTAGATAAATACACACTGTAAACAGACAGGCAGTTATAAATATAGACAGATGTATTTACAGATTAAGCAGTTATAAATATAGACAGATGTATTAACAGATTAGGCAGTTATAAAAATAGACAGATGTATTTACAGACAGGCAGTTATAAATATAGACAGATGTATTTACAGACAGGCAGTTATGAATATAGACAGATGTATTTTAGATAGGCAGTTATAAATTTAGACAGATGTATTTACAGACAGGCAGTTATAAATATAGACTGATGTATTTACAGATTAGGCAGTTATAAATATAGACAGATGTATTTACAGACATAGGCAGTTATAAATTTAGACAGATGTATTTACAGACAGGCAGTTATAAATATAGACTGATGTATTTACAGATTAGGCAGTTATAAATATAGACAGATGTATTTACAGACAGGCAGTTATAAATATAGACAGATGTATTTTAGATAGGCAGTTATAAATATAGACAGATGTATTTACAGACAGGCAGATCAATAAACAACTCGATTTGGTTTGTAGTAAATTCAGGAGAAGCATATAGTCTACCTATCTATATTATCGATGTTTAGTTTATACCCTGACCAGCCCGACCGGTCAATCTATTTTACCTGTTATCAATAAATTAGTACTATATTAATCGTTGTTTCATACGGACGGAATTAGCCTGGTAGGCTAGGAGCATAGTCAGGATTGACGGAAGAATTAGAGTTAGAGACAAGTATTTAAAGAATTCTCGGGACCTAGATTGTTACAGGTTTAAAGGCAAACATTTAGATGGACAACGAGATTGATAGAAAAATCGACGGATATACTTTTGGATTGCCAGATTTATGGACGGATAGACAGGTGGTTAGATAGAAATATAAACTGATTCTATGGATATACAGATTGCAGAAAAATATATCAATATTGCAGAAAGAGATAGAGAAAATACCCATTAACTCGTGTAAAGATTTCCCATGTAGTTTGTGTAGTAGAGATGAATTATAATTAGGGCAGGGCACGTTCCAAATTTTTTGTCATCGTTCTGTTCTGTTCTAGAACAAGGGCCTTCAGTTAGATCGTTCTGTTCTCGTTCCTTTTTTCCAATCGCTCCGTTCTCATTCAGTTCCGTTTCGTTCCGTTCTTGGTTTTCTTAGTCAAAGAACAGTTCCATTCCCCCGTTCCGTTCTTAGTCAAGAAGATAGCCATTCCCTGTTTTTAATTATTTATAGATGATTTAGAACACATTCCTGAATTAAAATGCGTTCCTGACTTTAAGAACTCATTCTCGATAATAAGAACGCGTTCATGATTTTAAACGTTCTTTTAAACTAATATCCGTTCAGTTCCGTTCCAATATTTTAAAGAACGTGTTCTTTGCGTTCCGTTCTTTTTTCGGAACGATGGGAAAGTTCTTGATAGTTCCGTTCGTTCTTGTGAGAGAACGCTCCTTCTTCAAGAACGACGCCCAGTCCTAACTATTACATAACTTATCTTAATTCTCTGAGATAGATTCTACTGTAAGGAGCGGGAGAAAAACCTTAAGTAGGTTGTAGTTACAGCATTCCACACTCGTGTATACAGTGCATAGTACTGCATTAGAATCTAGGTGTGAGGTATTTTCCCATAGGCATTTTCCCAAATGGCAACTTCCCAAATGTCTAATTCCTCAGCGGCAACTTCCCAAATTATGGTTTTCTAGGTTATACCTTTCCTTTTGAGGCGTGTCTCTAAAGTATCATTGTGAATTCCGTATAGTTGTCTCTAAAGTATCATTGTGAATTCCGTAAAGTTGTCTCTAATGTATCATTGTGAATTCCGTAAAGTTGTCTCTAAAGTATCATTATGAATTCCGTATAGTTGTCTCTAAAGTATCATTGAGGGTAAACCTGCACATACATCGCTAATTTGAATGTCTAAATTCACAGTGAGAACCATAAACCTTTGTAATAGGAAGACGACTGTTAAGCTCAAGTTTTGAGTTTAAAAAGTGAAATGAATAAAACACCGCAATTGTGTAGTTCACTTAACTCAGTTCACTCATTAAGTTAGTTTTTAAGCTACAGGTAAACTATTTGCTCCTTAATAAACAAATATAAAATTTCTTAAAATGTCGTCTTTCCATTCCACAATTTGATGGGTCTCTCAGTACATATTTAACATGTACTTGTTACTCATGATTTATGTAACCACTACCTTCCGGTATTAT